CTTTTAGGGGTATAGTTGCACCTTTGAGGTTACTGCACCAGTAAAGGGCTAAAATACAATTATAGTATATTTTATTTCTGACAGTGTAAACAAAAAAGGCCTATGAAATGTTAAAAAACATGGCTATAAAATCTAATATTAAATGAGTATAATTACTGATTATATTCTTTTAATAATTTAAAAGATCAGTTTAGTTTAGAGGTATTGGTATCGATGATACTGGGTTTGAAAATATCGGTATCGGATCGAAAATAAAATAAGAGGTATCGCCCATCCCTAAGCCATACATTCTTGTGTAAGGTGTCTCATTTTCATATCTGAAATAAACACGCTTGTGTTAATGCCTAACAGCTATTATAAATATACTGTACACATCCATCTCAAACACACGAAAGTTAAACTGATGTAACGCGCGTAGTTGTATATGCGAGCTTCACAGTTCTTACCGCGCGCTGCCTCGTGGGTTCTTGGCTTTGTTGCAAGGAGGATACCGACAGGGAGCTCGGCAGATCATAACACTTGATTTATTAAACATGAGGAGGTGAACATCATGAATTAGCCACATCCGATCAAACAGTGCGCGTCATCTCTCTCTCTCTCTCTCTCTACGCTCTCACAACTGACCATTCTCTCCCGCGATCCTAATCACATATCTCTGTTCTCGCGATATTACCTCTAGATCTTATTTAAAGTTACAGAACATTAATTTTAACCTTAAATTTCACTCCCTACATAATACTCCCTTACCCAACAAGAAATGTCCTAATTTCTAACACAACCCTTAAACGTATATGGCACAAAACAAAATGTATACATGTATAACATTCAAAACAATATATTACTCAAAATCTGTATCAAAAAGGCCAAAACGTACAAAAACATGTTTAACAATAATGCAACATAAATCACATAGGCCCATAAGGAATCAGTATATCAAAAAACTCTGCATTCAAATTCCTATTGTTACATGTATTAACCCTGTACATAAAAAAGGAACCAAGTACAGAGAACATTTAGCAAATCAGTAAAGTGCAAAATCCTTCAAATGGTAAGGCAATCAGGCGATTCAGAAATGAATGAATGAATGAATGATGCAGTTATATAGCGCTTTATTGTGTATTGTTGTACACCCAAAGCGCTTTACAATCATGTGGGGGGGTCTCTCCTCAACCACCACCAGTGTGCAGCATCCACTTGGATGATGCGACGGCTGCCACAGGACAACGGCGCCACACACCAGCTACAGGTGGAGAGGAGAGAAAGTCATAGAGCCAATCAAGTGGTTGGGGATTATTAGGAGGCCATGATTGACAAAGGCCAGGGGGGCAATTTGGCCAGGACACAGGGTTACACCCCTACTCTTTACAAGAAGTGCCATGGGATTTTTAATGACCACAGAGAGTCTATTAGTATATACAATTTGTAAGACATTTTCTAAAATTCTGAAAGCATTTACATCACTGCTGACCTTACACCTCAGAGTGGTACCACCATCGCAAAATTGCTCTAAAATGCTTTAATTTCCTTTCAACATTTATTTTCCGAGAGCAAATACCACTTGAAATTATGTTCAAAGCAGTTGCCATAGAGGCGGATGGGGCTCTGTTATGTCTGTTTTGGAGTTCAAAGTTTTGGTTTGTGGCATTTGAATCATTGTTTTGATTGTACACTGTTAAGAGTGCTCTTGATACACATTTCCTATATTGCTATTGGAAAAAGGCATTCTTTAAATCATGTTAGGCAGTTTTTGTTTATAAAACCTTTATTTAGGCTGGAATACACTACACAATTTTAAAAATCTGAACAGATTTTAAAACACTAGGCATCACCAGTGGTGTAATGTAGCGAAGTAATAATACTTCGTTACAGTACTTAAGTATTTTTTGGGAGTATCTGTATTTTACTTTCAGCCAACTTTTACTTTTACTCCACTACATTTCCTAATTAAAATGTATACTTTTACTCCGATACATTTCCCCGAAGCATATTCGTTACTTACTACAAAATAGTCAGAAGTCAGAAGAACACGGACTGCAGGAAAGCAGGTTTGACGAATCAGTTGTCTGCCGTCTGCAAGTTAGACTCCTAAAAACACCTTTGCTCATGTGCAAACAAGTGCGCGCACAACCGCGGATGATTCATTTTCCACTCAATTCGAGTCTGGGGTGTGCGATATACAGTATATCTTCCGTGATAATATGGTAAGTGTTGTTGTAATGATGTGCGATCTGACATTATCAAGCATATCACCAAATCACACAATCAGAGACAGAGTGCATGCACGTGATTTATTAGTCTATTAAAACTAAAAATTTAAGGCATTCTAAATTGTAGACGGCAAAAATGCTTCTGTATGCTTTTTATATTTATATTATTTAATATAGCTAACTTAATCTATATCACACAAAGAGTACCGTTTTTCTGCAGATATCAGCATAACTAATTTAATAATCATTTTATACAAGTTCAGTAAAGTTAGCAATAAGTGACTTACATTTTAGACATAATATTAATTGTTTTTGCTCAATTTTGCCAACGAAAATAGTTCCAAACAAAGATCACAGCACTGTTTTGCGTCTCTGAGCAATGGTGTTCACTTATTGAATGAATCAGCTTTTGAACGAATCGGTTCGTGAAGCTGAGGAGAACGTGTTCCCCCTGGCGATTTATATAAGCCACTGCCGTTGTGTTGTCCGATTTGACCAAAACGTGGTGATTCCGTAGGAACTGCACGAAATGTTTCAATGCTGAAACACTGTTAAAAGTTCCAGGAAGTTTATATGTGCGTTCTGTAGCGAGATGGGACATTTTCCTTTCGCTATTCTGCCCTCGCACACTGCACCCCAACCTGTGAGTGACGCATCTGTCGTTACTACTTTTCTCAGAGAAATCGCTCCCAGCGGAGTCCCTGATTCGAGAAAAAGAGTTTCGCTTCTTTGCTAGAGGGGGGGAACAAGACACCTATGCTGTGCAGAGGGGTGCTACAGAGACTCAGTGAGTGCTGTAGCCCCTCTTTTGATTTAAACCCAGACCACAGGTTAGGTCGCCCGCCTCTTTTTTTGCCTCCCTGAGGTTTAGCGGGGCCTGGGCTGGGGCTGTTTTAGGGTGAACCTCCACCTGCATTGACTGCTGAGACAGGGGGTGCCTAGGGTTTCTGTACCCTGACTGTCCCCCCCTGGAAGCAGAGGCAAACCCCGGACGCATGGGTTGGGGGAGCCGAGCAGTCGGCTTCTTGGGAAGGAAAATTTCAATGGTATGCTGTGAGCAGTGAGGTGGCATTTAGGGCTCTGACAGCCAAGGCAGAGGACCGATAAATTTTTTGAAAAAGAGAAGCAGACAACCTCTCTGTCTGTCCTGGCAGTGAAGGAGAGGAGGATGATATGCTATGATATGCGACTCGTACTCGGCACTCCAAACCCCTTAACGGGAACTGAGAGCAGTGCGGGCAGCACTCGGGATTAGTGAGCACAGCCTGTGCGTGTCTAACTCCCAAACACGCTATACACAGAGGGTGAGAGTCTTTAGACGAAATCATAGACCCGCAAGCACACGGGTGAGAGGGATCTTTCCCCTTCACTGTGCCACGGGATGGGCTCGCAGTCGCCATAACTGAGATGCAAACACCGGGAGCTTAACGAGCTCACCACAACGTGCTTCTCGATATCGGGTCTTACAGCAATTATTCCCTTAACGTGAAGGAATAATTGAGAGAAAGGAGCTGTAACTGCTCGATAAAGAAAATGAGAACCTGCCTTGATGCACTAGTCCCCTCCACAAAGATATAGCAGAAAGAAAATAATCACTTTGACAGAAAATATTTTCCCTGCCAAAACAAAAAACAGCCGCGTTCAGCGACGTACACTGTAAAAAAAATAATTCACGGTCATATTTTACAGTGTACCTAAAATGCGGCTCGTCCGTGAACAGTTAAGCGGCCACTCTTATGAGGATCTGCTGAGGATAGCCTCCAATAAGGATCTTTACGGGGAAGAGAACGAGAATGAAGTAAGGACCGCTAGCAGCGATATATATGAGGGAGGCGGGACTCCCGCATCACTGTCGTGATTGGTCTGTCAACCGACAGACGTGGTGTAATTGGCGCTTCCACGATTGGTCACGCCCGAGGCGATTCCCATAGTGAGATGCCGAACTAATGTTTGAAAGAGAACTAATATGATCTATAAAGGTGCAAAATGCATTTACTTAGGTTACACATATTTGAGAATCAAGATATTTCATGATATAGTTAACACAAATTGGGAATATTTCAAATAAAAATTAAAAAATTAAAACATGACATGGCAAACATGATGGAAAAAAAAATCTTTTTAGAAAATCTATCTGCAAAGTTCTTTGAAATCTAATCTTTGTATGCATGTTGGTTTCAAATGGTTTTGAAAAATGCTACAGTACTTTCAAAATACTACACTTATGACTAATATATATATAACATTAAAGTGAAAAAGTTTTCCTAATCTAAACTATCTACAAGTGTTTTTTTTTTTGTTTTTTTTGAGAATGGTAAATACATTTTACAACCTAAACTTTGCCATGTTATAACAAGGTTAAATTATCTAACATTTAAGGAGACTTATAAAACATCTTTCTCTCTCTGCATGTTTTTCTCACGTTTGATGCACTACTTGACCTGACTGACAAAAGTATTTTCAAGGTTTTTCAGCAATTTCCCTTTTTTATTCAATGCTTCGTTGATGACAGTTTCTAAGAGCAATGTACATATATATTATATATACACACCTACACATATAAACACACAACACACACACAAGACAATAAGACAAGCGCAATGTCAAAATGCAGAGAAAGCTTGAGACAGATTTATTATTGGTTACACAATTTGATTATACACCAAGCATAAAGAAAAGTAAAGGTGAAAATGCATTTCCTTTGTAAGGCAGTATCAAGAAACAAAACAGCTGCAAGTAACGATGAACTTCAAGAAGAAAGAAAAAGGTACACCAGTTACACCAGAAATACTGAAGCATGGCTTCCTTACTCATATCAAAAGCCACTGCTCACATCATTGCTTATGAGCAGTTGACCACCTTCTGATTCGTCCATAAAAATTATGCATTGCCATGCCATTGGTCCGGGTGTTAGCAAATTGAGGTCTCTCTCCCATATTTACACACAAACGCAGGTCTTCCGAGATGTGATGCGAAGCTTGACGAATCTAAAGACAAGGAGGGGCAGGCGTCAGACAATACAGCATTCTGCTTTTCAGATCAGATTTATTTTTGGTTTTGTTTTCCCCATGAATGAAAGCGCACACATGGTTGAGAGAAGCATAATTCTTAGCATTTATTACATCTTTATTCTCTGATAGGCCAATTCCAATGGTTCCAAGTTTTACAGGTCATTCTCTTGTATTGAGAGATTTATCTAATAAAATAGATCAGTGACCAAAATGATCAAAGATCTTCATCTGCATATAATATCCATGCACACAATCATCAAACACCTGATAGTAATCAATTTATCAGTACAAGAAAAGAAATGCAGGCACAGACTATGATTTTCTTAAATTAAATTAGTAAAAAATATTTCAATATTTTAGCTGGAAGCAAAATGTTTGATTCCTAAAAAAAAAAAAAACACCCCTTTCAAAAATTTAAAACTTTCAAAGTACTATATATTCTAAAACTAATACTGTTTCCTTTGCACCCTGTTTATAATATTGAAAATTCAGCAGTATTTAAGCTTATATTCTGTATAATTGCACTGCACAGTGTTGCGCAGAGCTGCATATGCTACTGCAAAACAGCACATCTGTGGGGCTATACAGTGTCATCTGACCAATCCAAACAGGCATCAGCAGATGTTTGTAAAGATCATTGGTCTGATTGACTCCCAAATATGTCTGTAAGTGTCTATCATTTTACTGTCTGTCTTGCAAAGCTAGTGAACGTTAATCAATTTAAAAGTGCAATGGAGACTGATGTGACGAAAATCGTTTCTTTGCAATTTAGAACAGTTTAAGCAGATTTCATCCAAGAAAACCAAAATCATTAAAAGCATGCTTCCCTGTAGAATTCCAGTAGAAAAGTAATTTATCCATTGGAAATCTTTCCATTTTGTAGCTTATATTGTAATGTCTTTTCAATTATTTACATAAAATGAAAATGTAGACTCTATGCAAAATGTGGAGCATTAAATTAAAAGTGGAGTACTGAATTAACTCTTACGCTCTTTTCGCTTACATATCATTAAGAGAGTCGATACACACAAAACAGAGTGTGTGCGGTTAGTGCGCAAATGGCAAGTTATTTTTAATCCCGATATTTGTATGGGAAATGTTGTGTGTAGTTCCCTTTCATGAGAACTTCGAACTGCGTCCTCTAGGGGTCGCTATGGGGAACGCCTCGTCGTGACCCGTGTCTGAAGCATACATTGAAAAAACACCAACTCGTTGGCCGGCGACAGCCATGACGTCACTACCGGTGTGACTACAGTATAAATAGGCGCCGGGAGCACACATCATTCTCTTCTTCGTCTTCACTGACCGGTCTGTTTGAAGCGTGCATTCCAAAAAGCAAAGTAAGAGCTTTTTCTTTCCTACTATGGCGAGCACTAGCGAAGCGTTTAGAAAGTGTGTACTCAGGGAACCATGGTTACATAAGTAACCTGAGACGTTTTTAAAGCCTATTTTGTGCACACAACAATTATACATCAGGCCCCAGAAGTTTCAAGAATTGTGTATTCTTCAGTAAAACAACAATTGAGGGGACAGTAAGAGATATGTGAATGCACATGCTATACATTTGATATTCCTAGCATTTTCTTTTTTTTTTACTACAACTCATTTTAAATCATGTAAGTTAACTTATGGCTCAACTGGAAGTTTGCTGAGGACCCCTATGGTAGAGAACATACAAAATAGACTAAATTATGAAACAGAATAGAAACAATCACAGCTAAACTGATGAATATTACTAAAGCACTGCAAAACACAATATTAATTGCTCGCAAATAGTTCATAACATGGCTTTGATTTATATAACTGCTTTACAATTTTTAAAAAAAATCACCATTATAGTCAATCAATACATAATCCACTCCAATCCTGAACATTTAAAAATCAAACTGAAGTAGAACCTCATTTCTATATAGCATTTTAGAAAATATGTTTCTTCAGAAGAATTCATCCCTGTGAGCTAAGAGCAACTTATTAATGCATCATGAGATACCAAAGAAGGACTCAGAAAGCATCACAACTGCACAGAAAGCAAAGTCGGTGCAAGTCAGGCAGCACACCTGCCCCTGCCCGGAGAAAGACACTTTCTCCGTGGTAATGGATATCCCGCTCTCACCATTTCTTGTTCCGAGGCTTCAGTTCCTCAGCTGCATTCCTCAAGAAGATGTAATTCTTTTTCTGGGGATTGTAATATTCATGTCCCTGTGACACAAACAGAAGTAATAAAAGTGAGAAGAGATCAAACTGATTGTCAGTTCACTAAAAATAAACAGATACAGTAAGGATGAAAACATAAGAACTTCAGTCAGTTCTAATTAACCAAAATAAAGCAAAACACCCCAATTTTAATGACAGTAACAAGATCACTGATTCACTTTCAGAAGGAATTTTTTCCAGTTGAATAATAAAAACCAATGACAACCAATGCGAGTGTGCAAAGTCCAACTTGAACCAACATGATTTTAAAATATTTTTTACCAAAGTTTCTTGTGCTCATCAAGGCTGTATTTATTCTACCAAAAATACTGAAAAAAACCCTGGTATTTTGTGAAATATTATTGCAATTTAAAATAACAATTTCTATTTTAATATACTTTAAAATATAATTTATTCCTGTGATGCAAAGCTGAATTTTCAGCATCATTACTCTAGTCTTCAGTGTCATGATCCTTCAGAAATTATTCTAATATGCTGATTTATTATCAATGTTGGAAACAGTTGTGCTGCTCCATGTTTTTTGGAACCTGTGATACTTTTTTCAGGATTCTTTTATGAATATAAAAAAACAACAAAAAAACAGCATTTATTCAAAATGGAAATACCATTCAAAAGTTTGGAGTCAGTAAATTTTTTTCTTTCTTTTTTTGAAAGTAATGAATACTTTTATTCAGCAAGGATGTGTTAAATGGATAAAAAAGTGATAGTAAAGACTCATATTGTTAGAATTGTTTGTAATTTTTAATAAATGCTGTTCTTTTTAACTTTTTATTCATAAAAGAATCCAGAAAAAAAGTATCAGCTTCCAAAAAAAAAAAAACATGAAGCAGCACAACTGTTTCCAGCACTGATAATAAATCAGCATATTAGAATGATTTCTGAAGGATCATGACACTGAAGACTGGAATAATTATGCTGAAAATTCAGCTTTGATTACAGAAATAAATTATATTTTAAAGTATATTAAAACAGAAAACCAATATTAGAAATTGAAATATCTCACAATATTACAGTTTTTTTCTGTATTTTTTATCAAATAAATACAGCCTTGATGAGCACAAGAGACTCCTTTAAAAAAAACATTAAAAACTTACTGATCCCAAACTTTTGAACGGCAGTGTAGTTATTCACATTCCTAAAAGCAATTTTTTTAATGCATGTTCAAAATCATAATTATATATATAAATGTATGTTTTTCCTTCATATTTTAAATATACTTATATGAAATTTACCATAGGAGCTTAAATTAAGCTTAATCTATCAAATATCCTAACTGACTATAATACGTACTATACCATAACTTTTTGTATGTCAACACACAAACCTAAAATCTAATCTAAAAAGACAACTGTTGGAACTTAGAAACGATCAGCAAGTGAATTTATTTTCTTGGACAGTCAAAATTTTTTTTACATTTGTGAAGTTAAAAATGACAATTCATCGAATGTTACATGTGTATTGAGATTGTACCTTAGACCAGTCATAGCTGGAAGCATAGGCAAAAATGTTCCCATTGTTATTGAAGCAACAAGCTGTTATTGGTTGATCTAATTGTTCAGAGGTCTTCAGCTTAGTGCGGGCATCTTTATCCCAGAAACTAAAGCGCCCATCAGAGCCTACAGTCGCCAGAGTGCCATGGACAGGGTGAAAGGAGATAGCGTTCACCTACAACAGAGAAACAGTTTCTGTTTATTTTACAAGTACTATTTATTACTGAATATTGCCTTTCATAACCTCAGACTAGACTAATTGCCCAAGCAATCCACATCATTTCAAAAATACATAAAACCTAGAACACTCACAGCATAAATATCTTGGGGTGTGGCAGTATTGGTTCCGTTGGACCTGTGGCACTTAAAGGTGAAATTGTCCTTGGCTCTGAATTAAAAGGTGAATATTAGTAAGATAGAAAGATTCATATCCAATATTACATTCAAAAAAATTGCTGCTTGTTAAAGTTACTTGTTACAATGAGTTGAAGTAATTTTTGAAAATTTCTGTCACAACTTCATTTCATAATGTTCATAACGTACTTAATTTTGTAACATTTAGGTTAACAATGTTTTGTTGGGGCTACATTAATCATTTCTGTTGAAATAACTGGGCAGTAGATCTGTAGTTACTGGCATACTTTACATGGAACTGCAGCAGAAGAGTAAATCTTGAAATTTAATTTTATGTTTTTCAGAGACTCCCTTTACTGAATGTGATTGTTTTTAACATGCTAACATGCTATTCTTAGTTGTTATCTTATTCAACTGGTTCAAAATGATGTTGTTGTTTTTTTTTTACTTTTTTTAGTCTCATTGTACAAACCTAAACTAATTGGCGTGGAAAAGTTTTCCTTAATTTAAGTTGATCAAACTTTTTTAAGTGTTAGCTGTTAAATTTCTAAACCAGCCATGAATTTTTTGTGGATTGGAAAGGAAATCAGATACAGACTCACGGGTTAGGTGGGTTTATGTAATGAATGGCAACTCGTCCCTCGATGCTGCCCAGTGCAAAACCAGTAGGTTTACTCTGCTTGTCCTTAAAGATAGCCACACAGCGGTGCTATTAAACAAAACACACAAGTTAAAATACACCTCAATGGTTAACAACAATATCTGCAGAGAAGAATTAAAATAATGGTGAAAATGGGCTACGAATCAACAAAAAACAGGGTTGAGAAATTACACAGGGCAACTATGGAGATGTTAGTGAACTAAAGGTTCAATGTAGGTGAGTAATGATTCACTCATTTTCAATGAGAAAATCACTTAAAATTCCTGCCGATTCATAAACAACTATTTAAGTGATATTTTTATGAGTTTGTGTGGCCTAATAATCTATTCCGAATGGTAAATATTGAACTGTAATTTGCTGAAGTATGTATAACAGCCCAAAGCAAAAATATAAATTTTAAATTTGCCTTTGCTTAAAGAATTTCTGGTTTTCCAAAAATCAATGGTGAAATGAGATCCTCCATCAAAAAAAATTACTATAGTTTGACTACAAAAAGAACTGGATTACTAAATTATATGATGATTTGCACAATTTCACATACATAGCGAGTTGTTCTATTTACATTGGGCTTAGACTAAGAAAAATAAATATATACTATAGTCACTGGTAAAATTAAGCATTCCCACACTGGTCATGAGGAAACCACTTTTGACCATACTTGTATATTTGATTCATAATTCAAGTACATTAAACTTATTAAAATCAATCCAATGTATACAGAGCTGTGCAGAGAGTAAAAGTAATTTGAAATATATATATATATATATATATACACAGTGTTGGGCAAGCTACTTGGAAAATGTAGTGAGATAAGCTAACAGTTTCTCTTCATTAAATGAAGCTTCACTACACTAAAGCTACAGCCCTGTGAAATAAAGCAAGCTAAGCTACAGCAACATGGCAAAAGTAGTTTACTACATCTAAGCTATTAAAAATTTTTTTTTTTTTTTTTATATTGAACCAACATTATAAGTCAATGCTCTCTCAGTGATCAATAAAACTGTCAGTCAAGCAGATAAGACATGCAGGCATAATAGTTCAGTTTAGTTGTTTATTCAACCACTGTTCTAAACCAATTTGGCAACAAAAATCAGTATCATGTACATTTACCTCATATTGTGAAATAGGCAAAATAAATTTTTGCTGTCAGCCGGAAACCTCCTATTGGTAATTGGTATTGTGGCTTTATTGTATACAGATACATTTATATAAATGGTAACACTTCATAATAAGGTTCATTAGTTAACATTAGTTAACTAGTGTAGTTAACATTGTAGCATTTGGACCAGTCAGACACACAATTGTTCATTAGATTTAATAAATCAATTATTCATTAGATTAACAGGTAATCACAGACCCCTCACCCAATAAACATACTGGGTGCCAGGATGTCTGTGAATGACCCCAGGCCCCTGGTTACCATGGCAACCACGACACCTCAGCCAGATCAGATAAACTTTATGACCTAAAAGACCTATGTAGAGAGAATCTTCCCTCCTACTTAATTCTCTCAAACAGACACATACTGCTATATGAAATGACTTCTTAAGGGGCAGTCACACCAGACTTTGAACGTGCGAAATTTTTTTGGACGCCGCTGCGAATATGGGTGGGAGCAGGATATGACATCAAGCGCCAAGGTTTCCCCTCAGTTATCACAACATGGATTCCGATGTGCTTGTACTGTGTCTTTTGCGACGGCGTCGAAAGCGTATGGAAAGGAGAAGGCTGTGGGTTCACCCTATTCTACGGACTCGGAATGAGCGGGGAGAGTTCCATTCTTTAATTCAGGAGCTTCGGCTGGATGAGGATCGCCACAAGGAGTACTTTCGCCTCTGTCATATTTTATTACCATTTTTTTAAACTATAGTGAATAAACTGTATTAATGAATGAAATGTTCAAGGTGTAAATTTTGGTTTGACTGTACATACATACATATATATATATATGTATATATATTACATTTTTAAGTGCTGTGCTTTAAGTGCTGTAGGTTTTTCCCTTTAAATAGGTCATTTTATAAGTTAAATTAATTTTAAAATGAGTCTGAAAATATAAATATAAAATAACGAACAACATTAAGTAATTTAATAATAATACACTTGTGTATAGTAATTATATTGTACTCTCTCTCTCTCTCTCTCTATATATATATATATATATATATACATTACATACATTAGCTAACATTAATGAAATCTTATTGTATATTGTTCCCATATAGATGTATAGGCCTACAAATAACCAATGTTTTTCCCCGTCATTAACGCCACAAAGGCAGTACGGGCATCGCATTTACAATTTCATGAACTTGCAGGTTATACAATTTTCTGTCACTATGTGGGCGCTCAGTTTTTTTCTGTTATTTGGCCAAAATATCATATTATAAAAGATTCAGCGCTTCACACAAGCTATTTGACTGTGACTTGACAACAAATGCTAAGACACTCTTCTCCGCTCCTCAAATACAAAAAAATAAAACATTAGCCTTTATAAATATAGTGTTTCTTGAGTAAAGAAAACGCTGTACTTATTCAATAAACAGTTATTTATTTACCTTCAGACTGCAAACGAGAGCTGAGATGCTTCAAACTGAGCTCCGTACTTCATTCACGAGAGAGACGGGAGAAATAATGAGGTTTCAGTGACAGTTTGAGGAGCCAATGGAGTTACATCTCACTTATCAATCAATATTGTTATTATCTTTCAAATTCTAATAAATAAACTAATAAAACAAAATGGTACAAATAACGTGCGGCCAGAGGCGGACAAAGTACTCAATTCCATTACTTGAGTGAAAGTACAGATACTGCTGGTCAAATATTACTCCATTACAAGTAAAAGTTGTAAAGACAGATTTTTACTTAAGTAAAAGTACAGAAGTACTTGCTTTTAAAAGGACTTAAGTACCAAAAGTAAATTTCCTTTTTTATGTCAATGCACTGTTTTATTGTTGTACGTAATACTTGCAATACTTCTGAAGCAACGTACAATACATTACACCTGCTGAATACACTGACTACCTTGTAGTATATTTGGAATAAAGAGCTTTTAGAATGTTAAAAACACATGGGGATAAAACAACAACAACAACAACAGAAAAATTATTTAACACCCCTACCCACCCCCACAAAAGCAGGATGGTAGTGATCTCACACAGCTCTGACAGTGTGTGCACACATCTATGTGTAGCCATTCAACCACATTTGAACAGAGTGGACAGTGAAATTGCTGTAAATACAGACTGATAAGGAAGAAAAAAAAATCAAACCTGCTTAAAAAACCCAGCAACACAACTGTAGCTGTACAACTTTACAACAGCAACACTGCTTTAACAAAAAAAGCAAAACAGCAACCTGCACAGGCTAACCAAGATCTTCACGATTACTAGAAAGTTACAGGCAGGTGAGTTTTGATTGAGGTTGGAGCTAAATTCTATAGGAAGTGGACTCTTGAGGGCTAGAGTTGAGAATCCCTGCCATGAAGGTTTTTATTGCCTTATGCTGCTTTTCATGTCAGAAATAAGAAAAATTCTCACTTCATTTTAAATACTTGTTAACCTTATGCACCTCAGATTGGATCTGCCTGCACAAACACTGTTTTAGACAACTGTGACCGGCACAAAATTAGTTTGTGGAGTCCTTTGGACACAGAATAGCAATGATAGACTGTTTTGAGATTTCCAGAGAAACCATTCAGTGTGAAAGTGTGTGTCAAAATGTCTTCTACCTACAAGCACTATTTAGTATTTGACAGATCGTCTAGCACTTCTAAGAATCCATGCAGAAAGGGTCATCAGAAATGTTTGGCAGAAGCATCTAATAATAATAATAATATGATTAGTAGTAGTAATTTATTCAGCTTTCTTTGTAGTACTTGCACTGTGTCCACTTAAGAAAACAGTGTGTTGATGATTCATCATGCTTGTCACATCTTCTGTTATGCATTTTTAACACAGTGTTGCATTAATAATAAAGTATGTATAATGCCATTTTCATAAATGTGTTTTTGATTGTCTCCTTGTTATTAGTACTTATCAGTACTTGTTATCAGCCAAATGAAGTACGGAAAATTGTGAACAAACAGGGTAAGGTTTAATGGTAGAGACTCACATGATGTAATTACTTACAATTGTGCAAATTATGTGTGCAAATCAATGGTAGACAAAAACAGAACATATAAGTGTATAAGTAAATAAAATAAGTTTTTATACTGTAAACAAGATAATCATATATCCAACGAGGTTGGAGGCAGCGATGCAGGTGGCACTCAACTTTTTGCGTCAGGTAACGTTAGTATGGATCAGTGTTAATTGTTAATCATCATCAGTGACAAATTACATAAATTATGGTTCCTTAAAAAATTTGCTGAGATTATCTCGGTACCGTATCTACTTGGTTTGCATCTGTTTCTCCAGTATGACGATTTAATCGGTCTTTACTGCACGGCTCTGTACACTTAGTTCACTGCTCAATGCAACGATACCTTCAAAATGGCGCCTCGGTGACGTCACACATAATAAACGCACGTGACTGACAAAGACCGATTGACAAAATATTTGTATTTTAATCACAAAAAGTAAAACAATGCAGTTGTATTTTGAAATTGTTTATCTAATCTAGGGCTTAACTAATTATTATTTTGCTAATCAAGTAATCTACTGATTATTTTGACAAGTGAGTAATCTGATATTTTAGCTAGTAGGCTAATACAAATAGAACCAGGTGAAAAACAGGCTTTAATATGACTATATTTATATATAAAGTAACGACGAGGCAATAATAATTGGCCTCAAATAAAGTTTCAAAACCAAGTAAATGGTTTTATTGAACAACACTGTTAAATACATAATGTAATATGCCTATATTATAACAAATACCACACACAGAGCGCACGCACGTTGATTTATTAGTAGCCCTATATTAAAACTCAAAATTCCAGGCATTCTAAATTGTAGATGGTAAAAATGCTTCTGTATGTGCTTTTTATATTTATATAATTTAATATAATTCCTTACATTTATATAGCGCTTTTCTAAGCACTCAAA